CAGGAGGAATTTCTTGCTGGAAAGGGTGGTCAGGCCTTGGAAGGGGCTGCCCAGGGAGGTGTCCAGGGAAGACTTGGACGTGGCACTCAGTGCTCTGGGCTGGGGGACAAGGTGGGAATTGGACACAGGTTGGAGTCAGAGATCCTCGAGGGATTTTCCAGCCTCAATTGTTCTGTGATCCTTTCTGAGTTAGGCCTTTGTGCTGCTGTTGGGTCCTTTTCCAGTGTAAATAAAGCAGTGTTTTGTCCCAGAACTGTCCCAGGAGGTTCTGCAGTGGCAGAACCCACAGGATCCAGCTGTGGGTTGCTGAGGGTTCTGTTGGCAGCGTCAGGGACTGATGGGAAAGGCACCAGGAGGGAAATGAGCTCCAATGAAGACACTGATTGCTCTCTGTCTGCTTGATCTTCAGATCTTGGTCTTAAAAACAGACACTCAGGATCTTGTTGCTTCCTTCAGAGTGACCACTGGGACCAGCAACACCACAGCGATCAAATCCATCGAGTTCGCTCGGAAGGGCAGGTGAGTCACTGCACTGTCCTGCAGTGCTGGAATGCTCTAGGTGGGGTTGGCAGAGCACATGAAGTCTTCAGAACCCCCCCCCAGAATTCTTTGTGTTCCCTTAGTCTTTTAATGCCCCGTGCCCTCCTCCCTCTCCAGCTGCTTCCTGATCAACACGGCCGACCGGATCATCCGGGTGTACGACGGCCGGGAGATCCTGACGTGTGGCAGGGACGGGGAGCCCGAGCCCATGCAGAAACTGCAGGATCTGGTGAACAGGTGGGAGGCTCTGGGGTGGCTCCTCAGCCCCACTGGGTGGTGGGGCACTGAACAGGCTCCCCAGGGCAGTGGTCACAGCCCCAAACCTGCCAGAGCTCAAGGAGCGCCTGGACAACGCTCTCAGGGACAGGGTGGGATTTGGGGGTTGTGCAGGACCAGGAGTTGGACTCCTGATCCTTGTGGGTCCCTTCCCACTCAGGATATTCTCTGAATCTGTGAACAGGTGACTGTGTGCTCAGAGCCCACCAGTCTCTGCCTGAAGGGTGGTTCAGTCTCTCACTCTGTGCAAGGACAGATATTCTCGTTTCAAACCCGCCTGGCACAACTTGAAGCCTAAATATTTTTTGAGGATGGGAGTGCGTAAGATCTCAGCCAGGAGATCACCCCCCCTTCCCCATGCCTCTGCCCTGGGCTGTGGTTGATCCTGTGCTGCTCCCTGTGCTCCCAGGACACCCTGGAAGAAGTGCTGTTTCTCTGGGGATGGGGAATACATCGTGGCAGGGTCAGCACGGCAGCACGCCCTGTACATCTGGGAGAAGAGCATTGGGAACCTGGTGAAGATCCTCCACGGCACCAGAGGAGAGCTGCTCCTGGATGTGGCAGTAAGAAAACGGCTGTTAAATGTTTCTGGTTGTTTTGCAAACGGAGCTCTTCTAAAATGAAAGCTTAATGAAGTTTCTCCTCTCCTCTCTTCCCAACAAACCCAGTGGCATCCCGTGCGACCCATCATCGCTTCCATTTCCAGCGGGGTGGTGTCAATATGGGCTCAGAACCAAGTGGTGAGTGTTTGGATCCTTCCCTTGGCATCAGGCCCTGGCACAGGGTGCCCAGAGAAGCTGTGGCTGCCCCATCCCTGGAAGTGCCCAAGGCCAGGTTGGACGGGGTTTGGAGCAACCTGGGCTAGTGGAAGGTGTCCCTGCCCATGGCAGGGGGTGGGACTTTAAGATGACCTTTCAGGTCCCTTCCCACCCAAACCATTGTGTGATTCCCTGATTTTTGTTAGATTTTGCCTGTGTTTGCTGAGCACCAGCTGCCCTGGAGCCCCCTGACCCCCTGGGTGTGCTGGGGGCTGCAATCCCAGCCCCTGTGGGACTCCCTGGGGCACTTCAGGACATTTCCCTTTGGGAGCGTTCGGAAGTGCATTTATATTTACCTGCCAGGTTGTTTTCTCAGCTCCCAGGTTTACCCGTGAAGCTGCTAAATTTAAACTGTGGGTGTGTTTTAAGCTCTGAGGAGCGACTTTAACCGGCCCTGCCTCTCTCCCTGCTGCAGCTGGAGCCGGGATGGGCACAAACTGGTCAGTGCCTCCACCGACAACATCGTGTCCCAGTGGGATGTGCTGTCAGGGGACTGTGACCAGAGGTTCCGCTTCCCCTCGCCCATCCTCAAGGTCCAGTACCACCCCCGGGACCAGTAAGTGCTCTGGGACAAGGGCTGGAATCCAGAATTGGTTAAATTCTGTGCAAATCCACGATTTTCGTGTGTTGGTTTGGGATTAGGAACTGCCTGGGGTTGTTTGTGGCTCTGTTTGTTGTGGAATATCAGCTCTGTTTATTATGAAAATAACAGCTCTGGTTGTTATGGAAATATCAGTTCTGTTTATCATGGAAGTATCACTGTGTTCATTATGGAAGTATCAGGATGGCAGGAAACAAGGGAATGATTCTTGGGAATGTGTAGAAACGTCTCACTGAGTTTAGAAGTCACGGCACAGACTTGGAGGAACTTGCAGAGAAAGAAAGGAAATGAAAGTAAGGCACAAGCTTAATGTCATTTTGCCT